AATGTCTACAAACACCACCCATGAATGTTTGCTTCCATGTTCCATTATTCATTCACAGCCAAATACCATCCAAGAGTGATTTCATTTTCATATAATTGCACATGAAACAACAGCACCAGTAAAGGCAGCAGTAGGCTGATCGTGTGCTATGCGCTACTGTTGTGATTAGATGCAAAACAGCCAAACACATGAACTCTTGGCAGGTGTTTCTGTGAAACCTGCACATGCATATCAAAGACCCATGGGTGAGATGAAAGAGACAGCACACGCGCACACACAACAGATGTTGCTATACAAATACTCAAACGCTTGATTATATCACCATAAAATGAATATCTAACTCCGCTGTTCGTGTTTAAAATGAATATACCTACTTTCACTGGTAAACTAAAGCATATGGTGAAGGAGGAAAACACCGATGAGCAATGCAATTGTGAGATGAGTGGAAGAAGCTGCAGTTTCAAAAAACTGCAGAAAACTGCAGAGCTTTCCAATAATATGATTGAGGCTAAAGTGATGCTCTGAGCAGCACACATGAAAAGCAAAGCAGCTGCTGGAAGATTTACAGCATATGCTCTCCAGGAAAAACTCAAAGCAGCGCAGAGTAAAAGGATGTTGTCGAGAGAAGTCTTGTCAACAACGTGGGCATCAGCATGAATGAGATTTCCCAGAAATCCTGACATTGTTTGACAAGGACCTCCTACAATCAGCAGGCAGAGTGTTCTGGGAAGAACTGAGAAGACTAAAAACAAGAGAAAATACTTTGTGCTGGATCTGGTCCTCTGCTGGCGGAGGATTTCAACGGGACCGACTGTGGGATTGTCCACACCTACAGAGGACAGTCATGTCTGGATGAGCTTCAGCGTGAGAAATAACTGTCCTCACTCAGCACAGATTCAGACTTCAGACATTTTGACAGCCAAAAATGTATCATCCTTGACTATTCTGCACATTTAAAGGTTTAGAATTTGAAGATATGCCAGCATTTTAACACTAGAAGATTAAAGTTGACATTCTGACAAGATGAGTTCCATTCCTGTGCTGCTCTAAGCACTAGGGAGATTCCTGCCAGTGGTCATTCTTTGGGCTATTTTTTCTGTCATTCCTTTTCATGGCTTTAATTTGCAAACACAGAAAAATTACACCAGCATTCTTCTTCCTGCCAACTAAGCTCTGATTGGTGACGCCTTCTTTAACCTGCTGTCAGTGAGCACAACATCTGATCTGTCTGAATCACCGAGCAAACCAAAGATGTGGCCGCTGATTTAGAAGTCAGGCAAACTAGCTTTTAGCTCATCAGGCCATCTCGGAAGGAGCACCGCACAGATTTGGCTTTGTTGGAAAGTTTAAAAAAAAAAAACATCAGTAGAAACAGAGGTATTGTCTTTCTTATTCCACACGTTCTTCTCGTCAAAACCTGACACCTAAGACAACTTGACTGCTGACATTCTGGTTGTAGGAAACACTCGTGGCAGCTAATCTAACCTGCAGCATGTAGCCTCCAGCAGACACGAGCGGTGGGATACAAAGGTTCGGTAAGCTCACCGCTTTGTAACTCTACGCCCCCACATTTTTTGATTGTCAAATTTGTAGTCTTCAGAGCTAACTGACACCGACTGTGACACTTGAGAGCATTTATCAGACTTTAAACAGCTCCCCTGCAAACACTAAAGGCTTTACACAACTTTTCACAAATTCATTGTTGCTCCCACCAGCTTTGATGTGTAAATCTACGAGGTTCACCTTTTATTTTATTTTTTTTTTTATTTCAGTTATAATTACTTTTTAAAAAACCTGTTCAAAGTTTGAAATACAGTATATGTTTAATGAAACTATTTGATGTTTATACTGAGTGAATATCAAACCATTCAGTGTTACGTAATAGAACGATTCTGAAAGCTGTTTGCACCTTTTTTTTTAATTTGCATTTCCTCCCAACTTTGGTCTGATCCATCATCTTCATGCACTTCGGTATCATTGCTCCAAAAAAGAGTTTGGCCGAACCGCTGCCATGTCAGTGTGTTTACAGCACCATCCAACTGGTGTGGAAAGTGTTTGGAAAGAGAAGTAACATTTTTAGGGCCAGTGGTTGTTTCCATAAAAACACAGCCTTTCATCCAGGAATCTATCCATGGGGTAGGGCTCTCAGTTTCAAAGCTAAATTTAGATTTTCGGTTCCTTTTTTCCTTCAGTGTGTCGTATATCTGCTTTCTGTGCATGTGAAAGGTCTGCAAACGTACATAGCTCAAAGTCCACAACAAAGGGAGCTATTCCCTGCAGAAAACACTGCTCCATATCTGCAGCCCAGTCCATTACTTATCTGTGTCGCCATGTAACACGTTTGCACAGCTATGCTTGGTGGGTAGTTTGGCCCTCAAACAAAGAATGAGCAGCTGCATCCTAGTCCAATATTTCCTCATTAGGGTTTCTTCTGGTAGGGCTACATAACCAATGTTTTTGTGAAGTCTGCTAACCAAGAAGGTGACAGAAGATGAGATGCAGCAGCAATGTACATTATGAGAAAAAAAATTAAAATAAATTGATGACTAAAGCATGTAACATGTGTTACCAGATTGTAAAAATAAAATAGACCTGTAAATGTGCAGAATATGAGCTCTTTAAGATTCATCTATTCTTGGGGAACTTGCACAAGAGCTGCTGGAAGACGAGGCTGTGTCAACCAGGGACTCGTTTCGCAACATCTACGTGGCATGAAGCACGAAATCCATCCTGGTTTCACACATTTTGGCTCGTTTTGTAATCGAAAGCAGCCCTAAGCTTCAGAACAGTGCATGCAGACTTTTAGAGTTAGGAAAAGTGGAAAACATTGCATGTTGATTAAAGGTGAATAAGTCTAATGGATCAGTGACGTCCAGAAATGAACCCAGCAAACTCAGGCTTCTGCTGCCTTTAATATGAAGAATATATTTTCTGTCTGTGTGCACCACTGATTCTAAATTGTCCATAGGTGTGAATGTGAGTGTGCTTGGTTGTCTGTCTCCAAGTCTGGCCCTGTGATAGACTGGTGACCTGTCCAGGGTGTCCCCTGCCTTCACCCTAAGTCAGCTGGGATAGACTCCAGCCCCCCATGACCCTCGTGAGGATTAAGTGGTGTATAGATAATGGATGGATGTGCACCACTAACCTCTCCATGCTTGTGTCGACAGTTAGCAACATCCTGTGGCTTCATGGAAGGTTATCGCAATCAATTCCTTAAAATAAAAAAGAAACTTCTTGAAACCTCATTTCTGTGAAGTGTTTCACCATCAGTTCTTGTTGATTACAAAATAGAGACTAAACTGCTTTCAGTTGTGTGTGTGCATGAAAACATCACGTTGGCTGTCATGTTGCTTCACTGTCATTTTACACAGACAACTTTTCTTTTTTTTAAAAAAAAATCACCTTTATTGTTTAACAAAATATGTAAAAGAAGAAAAAAAGAAAATCTTATTCTACAACAATGGGGCCCAGGGTCAGTTCAGCTTCCCTCTTCTCCTCTAAAGAACAGAAACAATCACTTAGTATCAGAGAAGAGAATCAAGCATTCTGTTCTTTCCTGCTAATGTTCATTACCGGTTGTCTCTGCATCCACACTTCGAATCTTCCTCATTCCACAGGTGGACTCACAGCAGGGACAGAACTGGTGCTTACCACTGACTTCCCTCCACCTACTGAGGAAAGGATTGGTGTCACAGAAGCCGTCTTGATAATCAGTTAAGGAATCAAAGAGTTTCAGAAATGTTGTCTTACCCCATATGAAAGAAGCATGCTTTGTGCTCAATGGTGACTGGAGAGGAAGCTGGGATGGCCTTCAGTTTGCACGTGATGTACATCTGTTGACATTAGAAGCAGGCTCATTTTACTCAGAGAATCAGGCTGCATACTTTGTTTATCAGGAGAAATTATTTCACATACCATCCTCTGTGGACCAAAGCTGGAGGCCTTTATCTGGAACTGCAGCTTATCAGGGTGAGACTGCGGTACAAACCTGGAACCAGTGTGTCTGTCCCCCAGACACCTGTGTTGCCCAAAAAAGAAAAAAAAAAATCAAGATTAACATCCCAAGAAACCTGTTTTTTTTTCATGCTTATCTGCATCCAAAACCCACCCACTGTTCTTTATAAAAGCTCGACTTGATTCAGAAGTGGAGTCTGGCCCTTGGGTGGCGACACAACTTTGCACCAGCAGTCTGACGGGTGTACGAGTGCTTTGCATGACCGATGCCTGCATTCTGATGGTATCTCTCAAGGCATACTTCCTGGAGGTTCTCTCAAACCTCCAGTCATCTAAGGCAAAAAAATTACATTAATATTTGACAAAGCTGTGTTTGCTATCGTTATTCTGTAGTGATTCCTAGAACCCACCAGTCATGAGCTGCAGAGAGAAGTACGGCTGCTCCTCAGCCTCCGCAAGATCTTTGTAGGGCATCCTGGCAGGATGTGGAAGGCTGTTGCTCACTCCGTGCTTCCTGAAATAGAGAAACTTAAATTGAGTCCAGTTTCTTGCCATTAGACTCATCTCACTTCAAAAAGAGGCCATAAATCTGCATAAAGAAAGAAGACGTACACTTGGATCAAAACAGAGCACAGGCAGAGTCAACACGACATGGATAGTTTACTTTAACCCACACAGATTCTAACCGAGTCCTGCCACCAGAGAATGAGGAAGCATTTGTTGTTTTATCTTGTCAAAATCATGAAAAAGTTTTACAGCATTCAAATCCCACAGTTTATTGTTTTCATTTTTCTATCATGACTTTCTTCTTGCTTTTGAAAATATCACATAAAGGATGAACAGTTAAAACACAGCACATGTAATCTGGTGAAACTATCTCTCAATGCTCAGAGCTTCTCACTCTGTCTGCAGCTCTCATCCTATTCAATGGGACAAATGTGCAGCTTGATTTTTTTTTTTTTTTTTTTTTTTTTTTGAAACAGCTGGGAACCGTAGTTTTAAATCAAATGCTACTTAAACAGAAGTGGACTAATAAACTTTACAGCAGCAGAATGTACACAATTCTGACTCTAAACTAAACATTGTGCCCACATTCAGCATGCCCTTAATAGAATGTGGAAAAACAGCAGAGGTCTGTAGCAGAGAGGATTAAGATAGGTCATGCTTGCTTGTATGAGAGCATTGTTGGTTTTGGTCTTCTTGTGGAACTTGTTGATAAGAAAAAATGTGGAGTATCACCAGACTTTGGATGTATGCCTTGGTTTCATCAAAGCAGAGGATGTTCTGTTCTCCAGGCAGTTTGCTTGGCGAGCTCCTGCTAGTACTGGCGTCCGCACGGGCCAAGCTTTGACTAATCCTAAAAATACTGGAGGAAATCCTACAAGAAACTGAGGCTCATCTTAGATTTGCATTAGTGGTACACAGTATGCTATAAAACTTTTATCAGCAGAAATCGTTTCATGTGCTGCATTCATGAGACGAGGGCTTCATCGGGTTGTTGCAAGAACAGCATGGAACAGGAAGTTGCTGATTCTAGGTGTGATTAAAGCACACCATGGCCTGATTAGGTGCAAAACACTCATCTAGTGTCAGTGTTATTCATGGATTTGACTCATTCAGAGTTAAGATCATGTTCTCTGACATGCTTTTAGGTGTCAAAGTATGCTTCCTCTTGTGTTACACTGAAATGTCTGAGGGGGTTGTAGGTACAGTTAGTTCAGGTTGTCATAGTATAGCTTCTTTTGATAACGGGTCAAATGACTTTGTGCTCCGACAACACGGCCAGATAGTTGATACAGGAGTTGGCTAAAAGGGTGAATAAGGTGGTGAGAAAGCTTAACATGCAGTTATTGTAGGTTTAAAGTAAAAAGAACCACAGTCTGATAGGAACAGACTTCACCACGAGACCGTCAGCAGCACAGGGCCTCCAGTACAAACCGAGCTCGCTTGCTTTATGCTAAGACTCACTGGTGTGATAAGAATTTTGCTGTAATTTGCCACAGCAGCAAGCGGATTTCTTTAGTACCCCATGGCAGCTAAAGAGTGTCTTTGCATGCTGCTTCAGATTTCATTTTACCTCAGGTAGTGGCACTCGACTCCGACGACAGCACGCTGGCTCCGTATGATGTTGCTTTTGCCAGACACTTCGGGGTCGTAGACCAGCGCAAAGGCATAAATGAAGGCAAACTCTGTCATCTAAGGAAAGAAGAATAACCTTTTAAAAAGTGGGATTGACATCACTTGGCTGAAAAAGGAAAACCATTGAATTATTTATATGAAAACCTCATACCACGACTATGCTGCCACAGCCGTGCAGCTCGGATTCAAAGACCAGGACATGAGACAAGTCGTCAACCTCAGTGGCTGAGCAACCACCAAGCGTGATGTGCTCCGGCCTTATGAGCCTGCCGATGCCCAGCAGGTCCTGACTCACTTCCACCTGGACCTTGCTTTCCCCACACCTCACAGCAACACGGTTGGTCACCGCCCGCTGTGGCAGTCTGAACGCAGCGGGAGGCTTGTTCACCGGATCCACCGGATCGTCTGGAAACTTCCAGGACAAAGGTTCAGCTGTTGGCTGTGTCTCATTCGACTGGAGGCTGCCAGTTTGTTGAACAGACTGACTGGAGTGCTCTCTCTCAGGTTCTGCTGCTGGCTCAGCTTCCAGCACCGCAGGCTTCTGAGGCTTGACCCCCCAGTGGGTTGGCACACCCACATTGCGGAGCCGAGCGTCACTAAGCCTGACACATGCAAACACAAAGCTAAACACAATAAGCAGCCTGGACCCCATTGTTGCAGAGAGACTGTTTTCTATGCAGCCTTCTTAAGCAGAGTGACTCCTCCCTCACCTAATCAGCTGAACCTCTTCACATGTGTGGATCTCACAGCTGCTCCTTTCTCACTAATTGTTCAGTCTGTGATCTCCTCAGCAGTTAGTGAGTTGGTCATCTCTTTCCTTAAGTAAAGGTAGTAAAAGTAAAGTGCACACGTACTCTATTACAAGTAAAAATACTGCACTGAAAAGTAAAAGTATGTAGGTATAATTCCAAAAATGTGCCTAAAGCATTAAAAGTACAATAAAAATGGCCCGTGTGAATGTTATACTGTTATATACAACATCATTAGATCATTATCACTCGTGTTTTAGCTGCACTTGTTTTTTTTTGTTTTTTTTACTATTCCATAAATCTGCCGACATTTCTTGATTAAACTTAATTAGCTTTGATTAGTAACTCAGAGTGAGAAATCAGAATTACACACACAGGGACACCTTGAAATGTTAAGTTTTGTCAACTGATCATTTTTAATTTTTTATTAAAAAATCAATTACAAGGAAAATGCTGTGAATTTGAGAAGCAGGGGGGAAATAAAAATGCATTTTTACATGAAAAATGACAAATATCAAAGGAGTTATCAATTCATAGTAATCATTCATTCTTTTTTAATTTGACTTTTGTCTGATTTATATAATGTAGTTATTTTTTCATTTACCTGTTTATTTATTTCCATCCATCCATTCAATTTCGTTTCACTTGGGCAAAAACAATAAAGGCTTTATCTGTCTTCACCAAGCCTTTATTCATTGATAAATTTATGAATATAAAATTTCTGAGATTGTTTTATGACAGCATTTTCTCTGTTCTCTGTACTAATAGTTTGTGGTTGGGGGGGGGATATTATTTGTAATTTGTAAATTGTACTGCAGCACAACCATACAGCAGAAGAAGAAGAAGCACTAAAAGAAAATATTCTAGCAATGTAAAGTAGAAGTATCTCTGATTTGTATTTTTGTATTGAAGTATGTTCTACACTGACGGCAGCTTTATGAAACTCTCCCATCCAGTATTAATCCACAGCTGCTCCACACATTGCAGACAATGTTTATTCAGTTTCAAAAGGTGCTTGGAAAAATCCACAATGAGATCACAAACAGAGCGACAAACATGTTTCATTCACACACAAATCTGTATTTATTCAGGAATTTATTCAAGCATTTATTAGTTATATTAACAATAATGATGTTTATCAGATACAATTTACAATACAACTGTGACGTATTTGTACTTTACCTGTGTATTTTTTTTAATTTATTCTACTTTGTGCCTACGACTGCATTTCAAGGGGTCAGTTTATCAGACAGCTATAGTGAATGTGCAGATTAAGATTTTACATATAAAACATTAGACAACCTCATGAAGTACAGCTGCAACAACAGATTATATTGTTAAACAGTCTCTTTTTATTTCATGAACCACAATGAATCAATTAATTGTTCGGTCCATAAAACTTAAAAGCAAAGCAAAGAATTTTTCATTGTAGCTTCCAAGGGAGATTGTTTTTTTTTCAGCTGTTTGTGTGACCTGCATTACAAAATGAAGAAGAAAAAAAAATCCACTTTCAGTAAAACTAATTAAAAGCAGCAGATCCTGGAACCATCGCATGTTTTATTTCTGCTTGAAAAAGGATGAGTGATGTAATTATTTTTCAGCCACAAAAATGAATGTAATGTGGAGAACAAACATGCGAACATTTCTGATTTGACTCCGGTGAACCGTGACACCGACAACCGTGTGAGCAGGAATCACAAGTTCTCTGTGACTAATTATCACAGACAATTCTGAGCTGTGGGGTTTCAAGAGGTGAAACATTTGGAAAGAATGATACAATAACCGGTAAACTAAAGTTAGGTAACCAACACTCGGCCCCATTATAAGCATTTGCACTGATGTGTGTTGGTTCTGAGGAATGTATCATTTCATCATGTCAGTGTGGAGCCTGGACGTCGTCCCGCTGCTGCAGCTGCTGCTGCTGCTGCTGCTGCTGTGGTTGTGTTCATGCAGTGCAGAGCAGGAGGCAGCTTGCTCTCTTGCGTTCTTCATTTATCTTTGCAAACGGCACGTTTGCTTTGGACGCCTGAAATAACACCACATCTCAAGGCTGGAGTGGGGGGTGGGGTTACCATGGCAACAGTAAGTAATGAAAAATGCCTGTCACTCAGAGTGCACAGCGCCGTGATTCACTGGAAGGTGAAATGTATTACGTGGAGATCCAGAGACAGAGTTGACGCTTTGTCATAACATTTGCAACAATTTTATGTTTTGCTGCAACCTACATTCCATTATTGTTTGTTTCTTTATGCTCACCTTCAGCCTGACAGTTCTCATATGGAACTCCAAAATGGCCAATATGTTATGTAGCTTATAAATGAATTATACTTGTATCCATCCATCAGTTATATCCACTTCATCCTGTAGAGACTAGAGCCCGTCCCAGCTGACAGGGACCCAGCAACAGTTGGCCAGTTCATCACAGGACTAGCCTCGCTATTCCAGTCCATTCTATAAAACATAGTGGTCTGGCTGCACCACAATCACACAATAGGGGGAAATAAACGCTCTGACTTGTTTGTATTTCTTTAAATCAACCACAGTTGTTGTAGATGGGGCTAAGGGAAGGCTGCAGCTTTGGTGCTCACTCAAAAAAAATGGAATTGTTGTGGTGGAATATTTGCATTCAGGCCGATAACCGCAATCCAATTCTCAGCAAAACTGGAAATTTTCAGTGTGGGAGGACATCTTGGAGGCTGCTGTTGATGTTTCCCATTGTGAAACCTGACTGAAATGAGCAAAACATATGCTGGGGTCTCTCTCTGTGGAATCTGCATGGGATGCCCGCATCCTACATCCGCTGAGTGAGACTATCACGGTCTGCAAACAATCATCCACACTCACACCTACAGCTCATTTAGAATCACCAGTTGAGCTGACATGCATGTCTTTGGAAGGTGGGAGGAAGCTGGAGCACCCAAAAAGCCCACACAGGCTCAGTGGGAGCATGCAAACTCCACACAGAAAGGCCCCAGCAAATGCTTCAGTGTAAGGCCTCAGTGGCAACCACTGCACCAAAACTATACTTATTACTATTGATTGTTATTTGATCATTGTTCCTTTCACTGATTTTAATTAGTTCTTCTCCGAATAGCATGACAACGCAGACAGATCAGGCAGAATGGCTGAATGAATGGTTATAAATACAATTAAATTCAAGTCCAACAAGCTCCAATACAGTGGACATGAGAATGATTAAACAACATTTAAAGATAACAGACTGAGTTTTCGGAATGTTGAAATATTTTCCACATCAAAAGGTTTTTACTTACAGACACCACACTAATCAAAACTGACTATGCATCCATTTACAGACCAATTAGTTCATAATTTTAACGTTATAGTATATTTTGGGACACATTTGATTTGTATCTGCTCCTATAGTTTTGTGGGGTTTTTTGCCTTTTGTGCCTTTATTTGAAAGTGTAGGGAAGAGGGGGATGAGAAAATGGGGGAGAACAATGGGTGAAGAACCTGCAGCAAAGAGTCATGAGCCGGATTCGAAGTCACTACCACTGGGTCGGGGACTTTAGCCCCTGTACATGGGACGCCAGCCCAACCAAGTGAGCTATCGCGGTGCCCTGCTCCTTTAGTGTTAATGCTGCTGGAACAATGTTCATGCAAAAATGTGTGCGCTTTTTTTTTTTTTTAGCCTTTTGTACTAACATCTTTTACACTTTTAACATTGTTCAGAAACAGTCATGAATCCATCAACAAAGCAAAACAGAAGATATTACAACTATGAAATAACACACATGGATTATGTAGTAAACAAAAACTAGAAACTACACAAAATGTGTTTTGTCGATTTCGAAGTCGCCTCCCTTTGCTTTCATAACAACTTTGCACATTCGTCATTCTCCAGCCAGCCTCATGAGGTCGTCACCTGCAGCTTTTCACACATATGCTCAGCACTTGTTGGCTGCTTTTCTTTCACTGTGGCCTCAACTCATCCCAGACCATCTCAGCTGGTGACTGTGATCATCTGATGCTGACCTCCATCACTCTCCTTCCTGGTCAAACAGCCCTTACAGAGCCAGGAGGTGTGTTTTGGCTTAAATCACCAGATGGGGTAATGTGTCACTGCAGGATGATGTGGTAGGTCTGAATAACTCTTGAATAGCAGAGCCTCCCTGCAGTGCCACAGCTCCGCCTTAAAGCTCAAGAGTGTGAACAGTACATGCAGACATCATCTATTCACCAGATCTGATTCTCACACGTTCACCTTGTGTGAGAATCAGAAAAGTCCAGCTTTCCACTTGATGTCCAGTCCTTGTGTTGTTGATCCAAGCCGTTTTCTTCTTCTCTTTCTTGGTCTTCCTCAATATTGGTTTCTTTGCAGCAGTTCTGCCGTGAAGGTCTGATTTACTCAGTTTCCTTCAACAGTTGATGTTGAGATGTGTCTGCAGCTTGAACTCTGGGAAACATTGATGTGGCTTCTAATCTGAGCTGTTAGCTGTTTATTCTGAGTCAGCGAACTGTAATAAAGTTCACTTCTGCGGCAGAGGGAGTTCTTGGGTTTCCTGTCCTGGGTGGTCTTCATGAACGCCAGTTTCATCACAGAGTTTGATGGTTTTTGCACTTAAAAAGCTTTCTGTCTTTAACGAATAATGGACTGTCGTTTTTCTTTAATTCGCTGAGCAGTTCTTATCATAATAAGGATTACAGCAGTCGTTGAATAGGACTGAATGCCAGCACCACCTCGGCAGCTCATGAGCTCAAAAACATTACAAAAGGAGAGATTCTAACAGTTAACATTTGACATGGCTCCACTGTTAATTTGAAACCACACCTGGTGATGACCTTATGAGGCTGGTTAATATAAGGTGGACTGTGTGCAAAGCTGCCGCTGAGGAAAACAAGAATCCAATATGGCATATTTGGCTTTGGCACAAGCTCCATT